ATCAACTGTGTAAAGTACATCTGTACATTTATTGTCCTCATCATTCTCAAAACATTTGCTCTCCACACGGGAATTTATTTTTTAATTGAGTAAATCATAGAGAACCTCTACAGGTGAACTTGAGCAAGTAAAAGAAATCTTGCCAAGCCAGGGAGCAAACCGCTCCATTTTTATTGGTCTTAGGGCGCCAGAGATACATCTGTATTGATCCCAGATGCAAACAGAATGCTCCCTTCAGTGTCATGGTGGTTATTGGTGAGAGTACCTCAGGCCCTTGAGAAGCCAGTTACAGAAGTAGAAGGAGGGCTAGAGATGCTGTCCACCGCACAGTACATTCAGGTAGCTTCCAACACTTATACTATTAGCTTCCATGGCTAAGGAAGCTGTGGACAGAGAGGTGGAGATAGGGATAGAGAGCTAGATAGGGAGAGGGGCCAAGGCATCAGCATGCCTTTTGGGAAAAGGACTTTGGGAGAATGAGCTCTGAAGAGAAGGGAGGAACAGAAAGTAGGGAAATTCAAGAGGTGAGAGAAGCAGGGAGGAGGAAAAGATAAGAAAGGAGGAAAACCCAGAGGGTGGTATGATCAAATAATTTCTATCCCCTCTACTGACCGCCTTTGCTGGAGTAAGAGTAGGAAAGAAGCCTGCAAGCTTTCTGAAGTGGTGTATGCAGTTTTACCTCATTTATACAGCTGACAAATCTTGAATCAAGGAACAAAGCGGGTGCTACCAGTTTTGTGCATCTTGCTTGCCCAGTGACTCTTTTGGGGGAGATTGAGCAAAATCCATGTGGAAACTATTTTTCATAACCTAGGAATACCATTATAAATTTTTAGTTCCTGCACTCCTTTCCTGTTCTAGAATTGAGAGACTGCTTTTCCTGTATTCTATGAGCAGAGCCGAGTCAGCCCAGTTTTGCTTTTGGATGAGAACGCAGAGAAGCTTGGAGGCCCAGTGCGTGCTGAGGCCAGAAAGGAAAGGTCTGTAGTTCCAACGCACGAGAAAGCCGGGGCTTTCTACTCCCGTGAAGAGTTACTGGCTTGGAAACCCACAGGGAGATTCTATCCTGTCCTATTGGGTTGCTATGATTTGTTAATTTGGCTTCGACTCGATGGCGGTGAGTTTGGTTTTTCGGTTTGGTAGTGGCAGAAAAGGACAGCTATGCCAGTGTGTTTTTTTGATAACTTTTAAGAAGTCATAATCCGGAACTGCACTGACTCAGATGGGGAGAGTTTGACCATCTCTGAGGCAAAAGGTCCCCTTGAGAATGAGGATGACCTCTTCATTCCCAGTGCCTGAAAAAGCAAGGATGTCATTGTGAACTCAATTTCAGGTTTGGACTTTCTGGATGAAGCTGGTTACCAAGTGTCATTGGGGACGCTGCACACTTGCAAGAAGTTCACTATTTAGGCCTGTTAATAATTCAGGGCAGTGGAGGCTGTTTGCAGAAGGTCTAGAGACCATGTGTCCCCTTGTCCCACTTCCCACCAAAATTGTCAACAATTAAGGTCTTCCCTCAGAATAGCACTATTTTGTCAAATCCACACCCCTGATTTAGGGGTATTGGCCTAACCCCTCTAATTAGTCACACCAGAATCTGACAGACTCTCTTTTGAATGGACCCTGTTTGCTAACAAGCCCTTGGCAAAACAAAGACAAACACCAGTGGAAAGCCTTCCAGATCTTTTGATCTTTACATTAAAGAAGCACAGAAAGATGATGGGGCAGTGGAGGCACCCTGAAAAAACTCACCATCTACCCTTCTAAGAACTTGGACTGACTCTGTTTCAAAGAACAACTCCTCTTTCTCAGGGCAGAAGCAGCGATTGCATCATGACCAAAGACACTCGTAAATGTACTCTGGGGCATAACACTATGATGCTCACTCTCATGCTATAGTCATCCACGCTGTCAGGTTAGAACAAGAGGCATTTGTGGCTCATTTCCAGCCTACGCCTAACGCAGCAGAGCCCAGCCTGAGTTACCTGCACACGGCCTCTCCTCTATTGGCAAGACCGAAGGGCAGAGCTTGCTTAGCTTTAACAGCAGCTACTCGGAACTCTAAGCAGTGTGATAAAAGCTCTTCTCCCAGATGTAAACTTTAGAACTGGAGGGGACTTTCAGCACCGCCCCTGCTATTCCACTTACATGCTCAACACACTTAGACGAAGAGGTCATGCTTAAATTGGCATATGAATGAAATATTTAAGAATGTTTGGTTATTCCTTTTCAGAATGGACTAAAAACATTTCCTTATGGAACTGAGAAAGCGTAGGAAGTTGTCCATGTCCACTTGGAAATAAAAGGGGAAAACATCACTCCCAGGTTTGGCTTCATCTATATGGCCTGAATGAGAAAACTCATTTTCTCTCCACCGTGCTTCAAGAAGTTTTGACTTAGAAACCACCACCAAGGGAAGCAACAACTCATCTTTTGCCTTTAGCGTTCTTGGTCATTTTTATGGCCTCTTAAGGTGATGAGTTTGTTTGTTAGCTTGTTGACAGCCTGAAGGGAGAAGAAAAAGTCCAATTTTGAGCTAATATATGAGGATCCTACTTATTCAATTTTCTACCCCAAGCACCCTGTACCCAATTAAAAATATACTTATAATGAACTATTTTATTTCTTTAACTTTTGTTCTACCTTTCACAAGGCAGTGTAGGTGAGGCAGAATTTCCTGCTCGAAGTCACTGGTATGGTCTCCAGCCAGAAAATCAGGTGCTCTGATGGATCTGCAAAGACATTCTCCTTCAACAGAAGTGGAGGGGGCCATTTGCAGCAATCCCTGACCATCAATGCTACAGTGAAGCTTGAAGGAGTGACATCTCAAATTCATCACAGCAGGATCAAGCTATAGCAGGTGGCAGCAGGGATTCTAGGAGCAGTGGCTGCACTCTTTAACCCCTGCAGGACTTGAAGTGTAGGTTTAAGTGAATACCAGACAATTCTTTCTGCAGCATCTTTCACTTCCTGATCGGGACAAAGTTTTGTTTTGTTTTCCTTCTGTTTTCTCAGATGCTAATGATATTGTTTACGTCTGAGTGTTAGTAATCTGATGTTTCAAGGATAGATTCGCTTATATCGGTACTCATATTAAACTCCAACCCCCTGTCATTCAGTCAACGTTGACTCATAGCGACCCCTGTGGGTTTCTAGGACAGTAAATGTTTACTAGAGTAGAAAGCCCAGTCTTTCTCTTGCAGGGCTGCTGGTGGCTTTGAACTGACAACGAAGGGTTCTTCAGTACTCATATTAAGCTTCCCCTAAGATAGACTTTAGGAGCTCATGTGGTGATGTCAGTAGTCCAAAATGACCAGATGCTCTTTAAGAGAAAGAGGCTTTCTCTTTCTATCAGGAATAATAGTCTCAGATACCCACAAGGCAGCTCTACCCTCTCTTATATGGTTCCTCTGAGTCAGGGTCAACTCGATATTAGTGAGTTTGGTTTGGTTTGTTATTTTTATTTTGTAGCACTGTGGCAACTCAAAAAGGAGTGTTTTTTTTTTTCTTTTTTGGGTGGGGGTGGGTGGGCTAGTTCTGTTAGACTGCTAACTAACCTGGAAACCTTTCATTAAGATCAAAGGCTGTGATAATGATCTGCATCTCCTTATTGAACTTGTCCCGTGCTGTCTTTTCGGTTAGTGTCTCGAGATTGACATCCAGGGACCACAGAGATTAGCAAAAGTACTTTCCATTGCTGCAAAAACAATGAAGGCCACCTCTTGGGGATTTGATGCCATTAGCAAGGCATAGGTCAAAACCCTCCCAACTGGATCAGGTCTCCATGATAAACGGAGCAAAGGTCGAGGAGGTCAAGGACTTCATCTTCCTTGGCTCCACAATCCATGCTTATGAAAGCATCAGTCAAGAGACGTAAGGTAAATCTGCTGCCCAAGACCACTTTTAAGTGTTGGAAACCAAGGTAGTTACTTTGAGGTTCGCCAGCCCCGAGCTATGTTGTTCTCAACTGCCTTATAAGCACGAGAAAGTTGGATATCAAAGACGAGGGAAATCAATGCATTTAAAGTGGTGACGAGTATTGGAAGTACGGGAAGTACTTGGTCACCTGAGGCGCTAGAGCGAGTAGGCCGCTGCGGGACGGTTCAACTTCCGGTGGGTTGCGAGGTTACTTCCGGCAGGCGGGCGAGCCACAGCCGGGGCTGATGGAGGTTTCTCGCTGTGAAGGCCGTAGCGACCCCCCTGAGGAGTGGCTGTCGCCTCCGGCGGTGGTCCACTTCCGAGTGACGCGGTTCATCATGGAGGCGGGGGTCAAGCTGGGCATGCAGTCCATCCCCATTGCCACAGCGTGTACCATTTACCACAGGTTTTTCAGTGAGGCCGACCTGGACGTCTACGACCCCTACCTCGTCGCCATGTCTGCCATTTACTTGGCTGGTAAAGTGGAGGAGCAGCACCTGCGCATGCGGGATATCATCAACGTGTCCAACAGGTACTTACGCTCGGGCAGCGAGTCCCTGGAGCTGGACGCTCGTTACTGGGCGCTCCGCGACAGCATCGTCCAGTGTGAGCTGCTCATACTCCGGGTCCTGCGCTTCCAGGTCTCTTTCCAGCATCCATACAAGTACCTGCTCCACTACCTGATCTCCCTCAAGAACTGGATGAACCGGTACAGCTGGCAGCGCACCCCCATCTCCGTGACCGCCTGGGCTCTGCTGCGGGACAGCTACCTTGGGGCGCTGTGCCTCCGCTTCCGGGCGCAGCACATAGCAGTGGCCGTGCTCTACCTGGCCCTGCGGGTCTACGGCATGGAGGTGCCAGCCGATGACAAGGCTGAGATGCCGTGGTGGCAGGTGTTTAGTCACGACCTAACCAAAGCGACCATTGATAACATTGTGTCTGAACTCATTCAGATTTATACCATGGACACACAGATCCCCTAGGGCACCCGCCGAAGGGGACCTGGAAGCTTGACGGTGGACTGGACTCACCAGGCTAGCTGGGAATGGCTCTTCCACAGTGTCACGCATGCCCTTCCCCAGAGGACGGCTAGGCGCAGTGACTTTGTGAGGCTGAAGATGGCTGATGATGGCACTTTGATCCACGAACTGGACACCCTCCCAACTACGTGCCAGATTGTGTGTGTGTCTGTGTGGGACCCTTGCTTGGTGAGACTGAGGCTAAACTTCACAGAGGGAGGAAAATTGAAAGTTATTTGACTGGACT